AACACAGGTACATTTTCACTTAGAAACTAGGTAAACTTAAATTTAATTTCCTGTAGGAACAGATACTCCGCTGCTTACTGGTTGATGTGTCCTAGGCAGTAACTTGAAAAGCCATGTGTGTCCGATTGCTTGATCCCTGTTGAGTAAAGTTGAATTACGTTGTTTGTTGATATCGAGGCTCTCTGCAACATCCAATTTCCATGGTGTAGATACGGTCCGTAAAATCGTGATGTCCTCCGTCGATAGTTGGTGGTCATCTGTGAATATGTGTTCTGCAACCTTTGATTTGAAATCATATGTTAGGCCTTTTTCCTCTTGCTTTTTGGCCTTATTAACCTCCGCTATATGTTCTTTAAATCTAGTTGCTAAAGTTCTCTTGGTTTTGTCCTCATATACTTTGTTACAATGATTACAGCTTATTTTATATACACCTGCTTTACCTAAAATATTAACTGGGTCTTTAGTGGATCCTAACAAGGATTTCAACAGGTTATGTCTGCTGGTGAAAACTAAATCTAATCCGAATTGTTTTAACTGTGGCCTTAGCTTACAAGTAATATCGTGATCAAATGGAACGGACACTCGTTTTAATGGTTCAGGTGGTGCGGTGAGGGTTGTAAATAGTGAGTGTACCCCATTAGGTATAAACACGTTGGGCATACGGACGTTAGGCATTCGGACGTTAGGCATTCGGACGTTAGGCATAATGTACGTTAGGCATAAAGTCATTAGGCATAATGGACGTTAGGCATAATATACGTTAGGCATAATGGACGTTAGGCATAAAATACCTTGCTGCTGTGCAACTATAGAAACCTGTTTAGAGCATGGTAAACAATGCTTAAATTAGGCTAAGCGTTGCATAAAAATGATACAAGTTAAATAAACATAGTTTCTTTAATAAGCACAGTTTGGAATCCATTATTTATCATATCATAAGTGACGTAGCTCCATATTTACGTAGATCCAAGATTAGAAGTGATAGCGGTTAAGTAATCTGGCAATGAAAACTCAGCATAGTTTTGAACTATAACTTGAAATCAATCGCATCTAGAAATAAAAAAAAAATCACACATTTGATGTAATATATTCTTACACACATATTGCAATATCAATCAAAGAAGAAAAGATTTTCCTCAAAGAACAGCTCATGAAATAAAGAATGGTGAATTCTGTGGTTTTTCATTCAATAACAAAAAAACATCTGCTGCTGCCATACTTTTCGATACAACGATTCTGTTTGTGTTATCATCAGAATGAAAACTAGCGGAACCATGTGCTGATGATGTGATGTGAGCGATACTTCCATGAACAGTGACGAGTTGCCGAAACAAACAAGGAACTGTGGCAAACGTACCATCTGTATCCCAATACTTTGCCTGTCCAAGACGTCGCAAGTTTTCATGAGTTCAGAAAAATTAAGGCTCTTTCATTATTGTCACCGAAGTCAGCAATCAATAGACGGTCCCCATTATCATCCTTCTGGAATTCATCGGGTAGATTATGCCTAGCGTCCATTATGCCTATCGTACATTATGCCTGACGTCCGTTTGCCTAACGTCCGTATGCCTAACGTCGTGTACCCGTAAATAGTCTCCTTTGTAGAATTCTCGCTTTTTTATCGATGCTTGCCTGGATTGCGGTCTCCTTGTATCCGTTGAGTCTTGCTGTTTCGAAGATGTACTGTAATTCCTTAATCTTTCCTGTATCGCTGAGTGGAAGAGTCTGCATTCGATGAATCATGTGGTGAAAGGCGGCCATCTTCTGCTGGAACGAATGGTTGGAAGTATAGGAGATAACTCTTTTGCTGCTTGTTGGTTTCCTGTAAATTTCGTATTCAAGCGAGGAAGATGATGACGATTCCACGATGACTAGAAGATCGAGAAATGCGAGTTTTCCGTCTTTCTATACCTCGTGAGTGAATTTGATATCCTTGTGAATTCTGTTGATCTCATCTAAAATTTGTGGAAGGGCTTCCCGTTAAACTGCGCTGAAGGTATCGTCAACAAACCTCCACCAACGGTTTGGTAATAGTCCTTTCTCCTTCAGGATTGTCTCCAAGTTGGCCATGAAAATTTCACACAAGAAGAGGGATAGGGGGTTTCTCATTGGGGCTCCTTTCGTCTGCTTGTAGAAGTTACCTCGGAAAGAGAAGTAGTTCTCTTCCATACAAAGGCGGGTCAGCTTAAGGTACGTCCTAACCTTGTTTCTCCATGCTGCATCCTCTCGTTGTGTTAATAGCCAGTCCTCCAAATGGTTGGTCGCTTTCTTGACCGGTACGCTGGGAAAAAGAGCTGTGACGTCAAAAGATACCATAATCTTGTACTCGTTGATGTCTCCTGAAGATTGTAGTTGCTGGGCGAACTCCTGGGTGTTACTAACTGCTTTACTATGGAACTGATTCGGCATACTCTGGAACTCTGTGACTAGCCACTTCGTTAGTTTGTGGTTGGGGGAACCAACTGCAGACACGATCTCTCGCATTTCATTTCCTGGTTTGTGGAGTTTGGGGAGGCCTTTGATCCTGAGAAGAATGGGATTGGGTTTCCGTAAACGACCTGCTCCATCTCCTAATTTGCACTCCTTCAGTGCTTTCTCCACGCGTTTCACTATGTTCTGTAAGCCGTCTATTCGAAGCTGTCTATACGGTCCGTTGTTAATCTTCGTTGTCATCTGATTGTCGTAATCATCCTTGTTCATGATAACGACCGCGTTTCCCTTGTCTGCTTTCACGTAGTATACTACTTTACTTTTCAGCTCCTTTACAATCGGAATTTCTTTTTCGTTGGCGCAACTTTGTTCCTGTCCGTCCTTGATAATCTTCGAATTGATAGTCCTAACCGTATTCTGTGATGATGTTGGAAGTGTCTTGGTAATCGCTGTTTCTACGTCAATGATGCTCTGCTCCACGTCTGGCTTGGTTGTAACCGCGTATCCTAGCCCCTTGTTGAGGTGTGTCAATTGTTCTTCCAACCCATCAATGGAGTGAACCCTCGGCGTCGTGGTGATGGTTGATGGTATCTGCTCACCCCCCGAATAGCACACTTTCATCACAATATGTTACAGCAACTTGTTTATGACTGAAATAAGTCGTATATAAGTTTCTACAATTGATTTGTGACAAGCGTGCTACTAGGGCCGTTCGGTGTGTCGTCCGTCTCCGTTGGGAACAGGATTTTTCTGTAATCAAAGGAACACATCTTAGTCCTTGTTACTTTTTATGCCTTGTTGATAGTGACAAAACTCGGCTTTGTCCACCGAGGATGATCTTAAAACAAGGAAAAAATGACTTAGTTTGTCTTCATCTATGTGATTCCTAATCTTCTATTCGTTGTTCCATAGTTTGAAGTGGTTAAGACTAGGGTTCTGATGCATGATCATTATCGGTGTCATTGCTTATTTTTGTTACTAAGGAATCCAATTTTGACTGACAAATGGGCGTGCCTTTGGAGGGTGTTCCAACACTCCGAAGGGTATAAATAGCGGGACCTTTCAATTAGAATCGATTCCTTGCGATGAAGGCACGAATGACAATTGTATAAAAACCGTATACTTCATCATTTCTCAATAGTGATGAAATAATACGACATGCACGAAACTAAGGACACGGGATATACTACAATAGATCAAATTACTGGTCACAGTAGTGATATGTCCCTTACAGAGGAAAAAAACAGTTCGTTCACCCGGTACTAGTTTGCGGTAGATGGCTGAATGCCGATTTTCTCGAGAAATTAGCGCAGAATTCCTGATGGTCTTCGCCTGTAAATCATTTTGGTAATGAAACTTCTGAACGATTTGAGATTTCTAAACAAAATATCAAACATGTCAAGCTCCAAAAATATGATCCCAAATGTCATCTTATTCTCACATTATGGCCTCCTGGAATGCCTATGGATATGTTACATTTCTCGTAACATGATAAAAATCTCATTGTTCAGATTTCATAAAATAATGCGATGCACCCCAACAGCAAAAACCCAAACATAATCTCCGCTGAGCCACTGAACGACAGTCTACATTTCAACGAACAAAGTGGCTGATCCTGTGACAGTCAATACCCGCTCAGCAGCAGCAGCAGCAACAATCTTATCAAGCACGGCTCACAAACTGCTGCTGAATGTAATAAATAATTCAAAAATCACCGGGCACCATCCAACCAACCGCAACGGCAAGGCAACCAGCAACCGAAGCAGTTTTCAATTTAATTTCCATACAAATGCAGCAAAATTTATTGGTTGATTGTTTTCGGTTCGGGATGCATTTCTTCTGCTCAGCGTACCGGATGGATCAGACCGCGATATGTGATGTCGTGTCTCGTCGCAGCAGTCGCAGCCCAACGATCGACGACGACGACGACGTCGAGATCGAGATTCTTCCCGGGTTGCAGCGAAATGCACACAAACATCTCATCAGCCAGCAAAGCTAAGCCAGGAACGAGAGACGGGGAAGGCTTCCTTTCAAAGTCACACACAAACGATTCCTGGCTGCGCCTGACAGCCCGTTTGACGACACACTTGGCAACACGGGAAGAGGGGCAAAAGTTGTGGGATCTGATCGGTCGTAGATCACCCTCCCCCAATATACCGACAACGACGACAACAACGACAGCGACGATCAACGACACACAGAGTTGTGGAAAAGCAAATAATATTCATCGATTTTCCTTTGCCATCATCATCTTCCACCAGATCTGCGCGCCGATCATTGTCTTGCCGATCTCCGGAGGTGGATCGTGACCACAAACCAACTTCCAATAAATAATGCTGTAAATAAATTATTTAATTAACTATCACTTGGGCGGCTCAAAACTAGACAGGGTCGAACCCCCCGTGAGTAGTAAATAATTGGAAGACACGTTCGGTCGGTTAACCGTTACGATTGATGTGTGTTTGCATGATTTACTCCCATATGGAAAAAGAACGTTGAAGTCATGGAGCATGGGTATTTTGTATCTAATAGTACTAACAATTGATTTTTTTTTATTTCTCATCTGACAGGCTACCGGGAGAGTGCATTCGCGTACGCAGTTGCTGCAGCCGGAGTGACGCACAGTGTGGCGCGTGCCTGTTCCCAGGGAAGGCTGATCTCGTGCGGTTGCGATCCTTCGGTCAATCGGAAGGGAATGACCAAATCGCTGCGGGAAAGTTTGGAGAAGGAAAAGCTACGCTTTTTGGATGCCATCAACGAGAACAGCATCCTGGTGGACGATAGTTTGAAGAAGCTGAAAACCAAACAGGCAAGCCGGTGGAAATGGGGCGGCTGCTCGCACAATATGGCCTTCGGAGTGGAGTTTTCCGAGCTGTTTCTGGACACGCGGGAGAAGGGAGGTGACATCCAGTCACAGATCAACCTGCACAACAATCACGCGGGGAGAAGGGTAAGTTTGGATGTAGGAAATCTTGCATGTAGGCATATTTTATTTGACTTCCAAGTAACAATTAGGGTTCTGTAGACCATTATTTAGACTTGCCGGATAAACTTACAATATTACTAAACTTGCAATATTACTTGCAATATTGCTGTAAATTATATGTCGTACTGTGAAACCATTGTCCTAGAGTAAACTTCTTTAAAATGATTGGGCTTTGATTGGAAATGGTTAGCAGGAATTATTAAGAAAATGATCGAGTTTGCAATTAGTGAACTCCTAAAACGGCAGATGGGTGGAGCAAATGAGGCCAAAATTTAATTGAATAGACAATTTGTTGTTTCATCTTATGGTGTAGATGCTAGAACAGATCTATATTGTTCAAATTTGATAAATAATTAAGGAACAGCAATCAGAAGAAAAAAATGCAAAATGGTTAACGATAACAAAAATTAAAGCTACAATGTAACTAAGAGTTTCAATACTAGTGGAAAGTAGTATTAGGAAATCAAAAATTTACAATAGATAATATTTTGTTTTCAAAAACATGTGTTTGAACAATAAGAAATCCCGAACGTTCCATAAATAATTGAAGAATTTTCAATTTAAAATCTTAAAGTTACGATAGAAAATCAAAATGATAACTTAAAATTACAAAGTGAAAAAGTGCCTTTTTTATATGGAAAATCTGCATAGTGTTATTGACACTATTTAAATTTTAGCGAGCTAACAGTGCTGACAAAATTACATTTGAAGTCATCGTTTATAACATCACTAGCGGCGATGCTGGAAATTGCTACCAATTTTCTCTTTCTGTTGCGCTCCGAAGCAGAGAAGCAGCACCGGTGGTGAAATGGTAAGCGTGATTGCCTTTCACCCCAAAGGGCCTGGGTTTAATCTTAGTTGTCGCCGTCGGCATTTTCTGAGGCATAAAATCTCTGATCACGCCAAGTAAAGCCATTGGTCCCCGGTTCATAAGTTAATGGGTCAATAGGTAGGGTCCAGGTGTGGCGTCGATAACATTGGTACTCAGTGCAGAAAACAACGACGTCAACGACGGAAAAGAAATCAAGGAAAAAAATGGTTAAGAAGAATTCAATTGCAAGGTTACCCACTGATTTTTATGGGCCCACTTCAAATACATGCACCCCTTTAAGAAAAACCCATAATTGGTGGGCAATCGGCGCGTGCTTGCAAAATATCCACAATTGGCAATGCCCTTGCTTTACCTCTTCGGACCGACAGGGGCTCCAGATGGATCAGTTGCAAACTACTTTCGTAGCTAGGCAATCGGTAGGGAGCCGTTCACGGCAGTTTACGTAGTGCATATCTCAGGAACCGTCGCTAAACAGACTCAACTCTTTCGACACCGTAGAGTGAGGAGAGTCTAGACAACCGTGCAGTGTTCTAATATGGAGCGAGACAAGGAGCAGTACAACGATTTAAGGCAGTAGATACCCGTAAAGTCTTTGGCAATCCTGAAGATAAAAGATCCTGCTAGAAAGAGAGTTGTGCATCCAGAATTTTTTTTTATGTTATTTATTTATTTATTTGGAGGGAAAAGCCTGCACTAGTGGGCGCAAAACCTCATCATTTCAGTACCAACAGATAACATGGAATCCTGCAGATACATTTGCTTGAACTAAGTTCTAAACATATAAAAAGATATTAATGATAACATAATTAACTTAATACTTTAAATACAGAAAACAGAAATGGTCAGGAAGTTAAAAGTACATTATAAAACAGATTCTTAAACCTAACACGCGATATATTAAAATCAAAGCAGTTATAACAACAATCAATACGAAACTAACTGATATTGACATTCAACTGCTGCAGAAGTGAACCGCAATTAATGTCCGATCGTAGGAGATCAGCGATGAAGGTAGCCTTAGAGACGCCACGGCGAACACTAAGTAATTGTAGGGACATCAAATTACAGCGACTTTCATAACTAGGGAGATTGAAAGGATCACTCCCGGGTAGCCAAGGAAGGGCGAAACGTACAAATATTCGCTGAATGGCCTCAATACGATTCACCCCGTTGCTGTAAACAGGAGCCCATACTACGGAACAGTACTCTAATGTGGAGCGGACTAGCGAACAATAGAGTGTTTTTAAACAGAAAATGGCCCTAAAGTCTTTGGCGAAACGAAAAATGAAACCAAGTTGAGAAGACGCCTTAGCGGAAACATAAGCCACATGGTCCTTGAAGGTAATTTGTGAATCAAGTAGGACGCCTAAGTCTTTAATGGTAGATTCACGGCTTAATATTTGCTCCTGCAGGCTGTAAGCATAACAGATAGGTGATTTTTTTCCTGGAAAACGTTATAATGGCACATTTAGAAGCATTTAATACCATCCTGTTCTTGTCACACCAAACAGTAAAAACGTCCAGCTGCTGCTGAAGAAACAATGCATCACTTCGATCTTTGATGACAAAGTCTAGTTTGAAATCGTCAGCATAAGACAGCTTCAGCCAACGGATCGAAAAGTGAACGTCATTCAGATGCAATAAAAATATGAACGGTCCCAGATGACTGCCTTGAGATACACCAGAAGAAACAGCGAACGGTTGAGAAAAATGATCTCCAATATTCACTGACATATGTCGACCGGTGAGTTATGAGCGAAGCCTATCAAGAAGGGAACCGTGAAAACAAAGTCGCTCTTGTTTGGCCACTAAGATCTCGTGATTGATTTTATCAAAAGCAGCAGAAAGATCGTTGTAGATAGCATCCACTTGATGACCTCTTTCCATCTCGCGTATGATTGATGATGTGTATTGAACGAGATTTGTAGCGGTATAAATCCGTGTTTTTGTGTCGCGATGTAACTAGAGCATGTGTGTTTTACATAATCTAGCACCAATAGTTCAAAAAGTTTTGAGACTGCACATAAAGCAGCGATACCACGGTAGTTGGACACCGACTGCTTATTGCCTTTTTCGAAGACAGGGAAAACAAAAGAATCCTTCCAGCAGTCGGGAAAGATCCCAGAATCCAAAGAGAGGTTGAAGATGGATGCTAAAGGTGCGGCCAGCACTCCAATACAGTTCTTAATAACCGCAGAAGGGATTCCGTCAGGGCCAGTGCTGAAAGAATTTTTCAAACAAAGGCTTGCTCTACGAACATCATTAGTCGAGATAGGCGGATGCGGCCCAACAGCACAAAGTACGGGAACATCACTTACGGCGGGTACGATGTGCTCGTTAGGTGAATTGTGACATGAACAGGTCAGCGATTCCAGTATCCGTATCTGATTCTTCTTGATCCGTATTGTACATTGTAGAAGGTAAGTCCTATTCCTTCCGTTGATCGTTCACATGATTTCAGAAGCTCTTGGGATTTGCTTTGAGTGCTTCGGTGCATCCGTTCGAAGTTTACAAAATGCCTTCTAGGCAGCTCATTTGGATGACTTCAGTCGCTTGAGTCGGTGGTTGGTCCAAGGAGGGTTACTAGATATGGGTGGAGTTGCCATGGGTACAAACTGGTCGATCGCATACGCGACAATATTCACCTAGGTCCTTAATTTGGCTGAGTCGCTCAATTTCAGTACATATCCAGACATACATGAACATAATAGTCTCTTTCTTGGGCAAAAAAGAGATAACCGAGAATTTGTACGAGTTAACCTCTTTATGATTAAGAATACACCAATCAGCAAAAGCATTCAGCTGTCGTTGAAGAAAGCAACAGTCTTCAATTGAGTGAATTCGAAGGAAAAGTTTAAGGTCATCTGCGTAAGATAATCGTGGTCCCTCAATTACCAGCTACACGTCGTTGAAGTAAATCAGGAAAATGAGCGGTCCCAGGTAACTACACTGGGGTATGCCGCACGTGGCAGCGAACATTCGGGACTGGTAATCACCAATGACAACAGTAAGATAGCGATCGGTGAGGTACGACTGAAATCATTACAAAAGGCAGCCGTGGAAACCAAGCCGGTCCAGTTTTGCGATTGATATGCGGTGATTCAATTTATCGAAAGCAGCAGATAAGTCAGTAAAAATGACATCAGTCTGAGCACGATCCGACAGACTTTTAGAGATGTAGGAAGTAAGGCACAGCAATTTAGTGGCAGTGGAGCGACCAGCCATGCTGGTCGATATACTAATAAACGGCTTACAGTGAGCGAGTAACGGTTCCATAACAACGAGTTCGAACAATTTAGCAACAGCGCTAAGCGAAGTGACGGTTGTTGCCAAAGTCCTGTTTGTTGCCCTTCTTGTGTACTTGAAACATGTGCGCTAGCTTCCAACAGGGTGGAAAAACGCCGACGTCCACGGACCGTTGAAAAACGTGCAGCAGTGGATACAACAAACTGTCCAAGTGCGTTTGGTGGAACACCGGTGGAATTCCGTCAGGACTCGGATTGTAAGAAAGAATTGAGTTTCGAGGAAGCCCTGGAAAACGTCTCGGGATTTATGTCAATTCTGCTCATGGTTTGGCCAGAGAGTGGTACGTAACTGGCAGCCAGTCGGGCATGGTCGTCACGCAGTCTCTCGTCCGGGAAGACACTAGCACATTTTTCAGAGAACAAGTGAGAGATAACTTGCATAGATGAGGCCACGTTACCATTATGTATCATTGACGACGGCAGACCAGCTTCATTACGTTTTTCGTTGACAAACTTCAAAAACTGCTTGGAACGCATACTAGGGCAGATAAGTGATTTTCTCGGAAAAAAAATTAATAACTTTTGAACGAAGCATCCAATCAGAATACTGTTTTCAGTAAAGTTGTTTGTATTAGTTAAGCGCTTCTTTTGAATAACTTAATTAGTTCGCAACTTTGCCGTAGAGATGGCGCACGAATCTAACTTTTGAATAAAGCATCCTAGATGTTTTAAACAAAGTTTTTTATCTATTAAAATGAAGGAAAGTTGCAGAAGACATGAAACTTCCATAACCTTTAGTTTTATATATATAGGGTATATTAAAAAAAAATATGAAGCCAAAATTCTTATTTGTTAACTTTTTTATATATTTTCATATGTTTGCTCTG